ATTCCACTTAATAGGTCTTTTTAAACATCTTCATTTCAAAGTAGTTTCCCTCCCTGTTAGCATTGAGATAATGTAACAAAAATTAAATCCTTCTTTTCATTTATCCATAAATGGAGATCTTCTAGAATAATATTTCATTGACTTTCTCCTTTCTCCTTTCTCCTCCCTAACAATCTCATTCCTGATCAACTACAGAAAGCATGCTATTTAATCCTGTGTTTAATATCACGTTCCATGTGTCCCTAGATGTCTAAAGAAAATGAATTTGAGATGTAAAACAAACTTGTGAGGTAATGTGTGAAATAAAAGAGAACTTGTGAAGTAAGCTCATGAAGTAAACCAAACTTGTGAAGGAACATAGCTTTTTGGAATAAAGTATCATAGTGGTTACACAGTTCAAGTGTGAATGTCTACAGGGGAAGGCTACTCACACTAAGAAATAATGCTTAACACACAATGGAGTTGGTACTTTGATTTAGGCCCTTTGTGGAAGCCTAGGCATTGACAAGCAAGTCTGTTTTAATTAAAATTAAAATAAGAGGGTGGAGAAGGCAAAATAGGAGTTTCTTTATAGAATGTATTAACTACTGATGTAGACATATTGGAAATATAAAGGTGACAACACATGATTCAGAATGTTCCAGCTAGCCTGTGAAGAACCAATCAAGAATCAGGGATATTGGCTGGAATGGATGGATTCCAGCAGCCTGGACTTCTGATGATATGAAAGGTCTGATCATTTTGTAACAGATTTTCAGAGTCTCTGGTAACTTGCTGTGATGATTTGCATTTTTGTGGTATTCAGCAAGACACTTAATTGAACTGACTATTCAATTAAGGATCTGCAGATTGGTAAACAACTTATTTTTATATAAATAAATACATTAATTTTTATTCTATGTAACAGTTATACTGTTACATCTTAATCTTTGTAGCTGCTAGCTTATCATAGTAAAAAAGAAAGTAATGTATAATTTCTCTTTATTCTGGTGATTTTCTTGATCATGAAAGCATCTAGGGCAGAGTAGGCAACCTCGGCTCTTTTATGACTCATGGACTTCAACTCCCAGAATTCCTGAGTCAGCATAGCTAGGGAACTTCCTGATACCCTTTTTAGAAAAGTTAGTCTTAAGTTGACATTTGAAAGCAAACCTTCACAGTTTTCTCCCCAATCAAATGGTCATTATGAAAAGCTGGTTTGAAGTATAAATTTGGTTTGATCCATAATAAATGGATTTGGGTCTCAAACATCTGGAATTTGGGGTGTCCATAGTGGGTGTGGAGGTACAATTTGTAAAGATACAAAAAAAAGTGGTTTCCAAACTTCTATAGAGCAATTATAAGTACAAATATAAATTACCTTTTACATTATGGTTCCAACATAATTCTCTTCTTTGTATAATCTATCTTGCCTAAACATCAAAAACATGAATCATAAGTTCATTTTTTTTTGTTTTTCACATTAAATCCATAAGGGATTTCATAAAAAAATATTGACAGTGATCAAAGAAGTCAATTCAGCCATCTCAACAATTTCCATCATCTTCCCCAACCATTACTTCATCCTTGGTCATATAAACATTTTGCTGCAATTATCATATGCATAAACAAAGTTATATGCAAAAACAAGCAAAAACAAAGTCCCATGATTTTTTTCTCCTCTTGTTCGGATCTCTGGGCCACCATGGATAGTAGTCAAATCCAGACAAGAGACAGTTTCTTCTGTGCTACCCTGCTCTTGACACCTATGGAGATGCATACTGTATCTGCAAACTGGAGCCAAGATGCATTTATTCCCTCTTCAGCAATTTATGTATAGATATGACCTCTTTGGGAACAGTCGCAGCTACAAAGCTAGAATAATAGTCTAAGTGGGATTGTTAGCACTTCTATTACTTGGCAATCCAGCCATCACTGATTATCAAGGGGTATTTCCAGGCAGAATCTGTCCTTTTAGGAATAATATGGCCTTAGCCAGTATAGGTTGAATGCCCCAACTTTGGCTTACTTGATGTAATGGCATGTGTGGATGACCTTGGGGAATCATGGGAAAAGATGCTTCCTATGAAACAATCAGTCAAAAGAAGCAGGAGCTCCCAGTGGCATAATGATCAAAGAAAGAAATTTAGGAAGAACCTGCCCTAATGAATCAAGCAGTTAAAAGTGGTGGTGGGAAATTTCTACTTTTAGACTTGCAAGATTCTGTTAATGCACTTCCTGCTTGGTTTACCTGGAAGGACTGACATTTATATGGCAAGAAGGAGAAGAGATTCTAATGGTTCATCTAGTGGTTCCAAGTAAATGTTAAACAATGCAAGACAGAAAAAGAAAACCTGCTGGATACCCTAGATCAGATAGTGAGAAGTTATTTGGTTTACACCCAGGTCTATTTTTGGCACATGAAAATCACTGCACATCAATGCTGCTAAAGCTCAGATCCATCAGGGAATCCTCTACAATGGTTGATTGTATTCAAACCTGCCAAAAACGATGAGGAGAGGTTAAAGCTACACAACACACACTTTTGCAAGCACAGTTATCAGCTTTGTTGCCTTCTTGCATTTTCCCAGGCTTGACTCCCTAATTTCTGCTGCAGGCATTATTACAGAACAGTGGTTATATCATTTACCTACTTCCAAAAGATTAATTTTTCCTTCCCAGACCTGCCCACTTTTTGCTGTTCTTTTTTTAAATTGTCCTTTGATGCTCTTTCAACATTTTTGTTATCATTTGTTATATAAAATTTTCATCCTGGCTTCACAATAGGCTTACTAACCTTTTTAAGATTACCAGGACTCTCCTGGGTAATTGGGGCTTGGAGGTTTACCTTCAAGGCTGTGCAGAAAAAAATGCTGTGATCTGGTGGGTTAAATCACTCAGATTTATTCTCAGTTGGTGACCAAGAGCTTACTTACCCAGTTATCTAGGAATAGTTTGATCCTGTCTGACCCAAGGAAGTGCATAGGGTCTTGGGCTTGGATCTAGATTCCTGCCCCTCCTGACTGATCAAGGCTGCCTGGGAATTGACATGTGGGTCGGTCCTAGTGATGGTTAATTCATCCTTGAGGGAGGGGGTGTTCCAAACATCATTTAATGTGACACAGGTTCGTCTTTTCAAGAAGCCATAGCTAGACCCCATCATTCTGGGTAATTTTTGGCTACTCTCTCATCTTTTTGAGTTGAGAAAGTGGTGGCACTGCAGTGGATCATGGATGTTACAGGTTATCTCAACCCCTTCTAGTCAGGTTTCAGGCCTTGATATGGGACAGAAATACAATAGCATTGGTTGCACTTTTGGATAATCTCTGGTGGGAGATTATCCTGACTCTTCTTGATCCCTTGTCATCCTTTGATAGCGTCAATCATACTATCCTTTTTGATAAGCTCTGAGAGTTGGGGTGGGGAGAAGAGTTTTGTGCTGATTCAGCTCCTTCCTCCAAGGTTGGTTTCAATCGTTGTTGATAGGGGCAACATGTCCAATTTATGGCTCCTGTTTTGTGGGGTGTGGCAGGGCTTGGTGCTCTCATTGCTTTCTTTCTTTTTTAAAAAAGATCTACATGAACTTGCTGAATAAGATCATCCATCAGCATGGGATGAGGCGTCATCAGTATGTAGATGATACTCAATTGCACATCTCCATCCCGGGTGAATTAAGTGATGCTGTGGATGTTTTTTGCAGTGCTTTGCAGTGGTAAGATAGAATGGCTGTGGGTGGTGGCTCTTTGGTATCTGGGCACTTACCATATTTGGTCTTGCTTAGGGTTGCATTGCTTCTGGACCCAGGACTTCTGCTCAAGGAGCAGGTGGCAATCATGGCTAGACTAACACATAACTTTGTGTTGTGCACCAGCTGCACCCTTTCCTTCATTCATGCCCTCGTCATTTGGACTATTGCAATGCACACTATGGGCAGCTACCCTGGAAAAGTATCCAGAAGCTGCAGCTTGTGAGAATGCAGCTTCACTAGAAGTCTTAGGTGCCATTAGGACAGCTGATGTAGCACCTCTGCTGAGTGAGCTACATTGGGTGGCAGTTTGCTTCTGGGTCCAATTCAAGGCATTTGTTATGACCTTTAAAGCCCTTGATGGCAAGGGCTGGGGTTAACTGAGGAATCGTTTCATTCCAATTATATTGACCTAATCTCATTCAGTCAGTGCATGTTATGGACCTTGTCGGCCAAAGAATTTAACAGGCAGGGTCTATGAGGAGAACCTTCTCTGTTGCTGCCCTGCCCTATCAAGTCTTGCCCCCAGAGATAAGGTTGGCCCCCACTCTCTTAGCCTTCCAGAAGAGCATTAAGATCTTGTCTGTCAGCTAGCATGGGTTTTCAGTAGTCGTGCACAAGCCTGGGGGTGGTTGGTGTCTTGAGGGCACTCTCTCTGCCTTTTAAACTGGTGAATGAGGCATCCAGTTCAGCAGCCCCAGATAAAATGGCTGTGGAGTGTAAGAATCAGGGAGCCAATCAACGTAATGGAGTTTGTGTTAATGGTAGTAAAATGTACCAGGCAATCTGGTCAGTATAATCCAGCATAAAATTATATTTTACAGAGTAGAAAAACACAGGGGGAGAGGTCTTTCCTTTCCTTTCCTCTCCTCTCCTCTCCTCTCCTCCCTTTCTCCTCTCCTCTCCTCTCCTCTCCTTTATCCTGCCCTACCCTGCCCTTCTTTATTTAATGACCTGCTGTGGTCAAATTTGCAATAGTCAGGTAGTTTACCTGTAGGCTCTGTTAGAAGTTTCTTAAATGTTTCAGCTGCTTCTTTTTATTTATTTAATTTCTGTAGCCTATTTTGAGTATACTTGAGCAACAGAAGACACCTTGAAATAACAATAACAATTTGAGGACAATGACTGGCATCAACATTTTCCTCAGCCTGATAAATGACAACTGTTCAAGGATCTACTATATGAAGGGAGAGAGAAAAACCAAACCAATCCAAATCAAAATAACCAGACCAATTCTTGTGGTTGAAAATAAGATAATAACTCAATTTGGACCCAATGGCAAGGAAATGTATTTTATACATTTATACATATCAAGAAGCCATCATAGAAATGAAAGATTTAAGGAATATATTTTGGTTATTCCTTATCTAAGTACAAATGGGCGACTTCAGGGTAATTTGCTGTCCTTGTTTTTATAGCCCTTTAATAAAGGAAACAATGTTTCCAATTGCTGGTTTTGTATATGAAAATTCAAAACATCTACTGTTGATAAATGTTATAAATCCATGACCTCCCTCTTTTACATGATTCCAAGTCACAGGCACTCCATTGTCTTCTAGTCGCTTTTTGTAGAGCAGTCCATCATCCCGAAGTGGGTCATATTCACAGGTCAAAATGTAGGTCTCAGGAAGTTGCTTTACAATGTCATCCTCACTGATAATGGGTGACTGCAATGTCTTATCATTCAGTCGAGATGCTTCATACAGTTCCTTTGAAAATGGAGCTGCCATTGGGCGATCATAAGCTCGGGCTTTAAATTCTCTGGGGATAAGATCCTCACTGATCCATTTCTTGAATTTCTCCTTCATGTCTTCAGGAACATGGCCATTCCTTGCTATTTTTTCTTTGTCTACATGCTCGTTCCCAATAAATTTTAAACCAAAGTTTACAACCCGCTTTCTGGTTAGAAAAGGACCGTGATGGTTTTGAAGATAAGATGGTAGCATGAGATCTATACTCTGCAGGAAAGGATATATCAAGATCTGTGCTCGGATTTTTGGCAGGTTCCCTGTTTTTACCAATTCTTCACAAATCCAAGCAACCATTGTCCCACCACTGCTATCTCCAGCAAGAACAATGTGATTTGAATTGACTCCATAGTCTTTGGAGTGTTTCATAAAATACCAGATGGTAGCTAGGGCATCTAACAACTGGGCAGGATGTTGGTGCTCAGGACCTAAACGATACCTGCAAGAATGAATAGACTTTGTCAGACTTTGAAATTTTCTAGGAAGGAATTAGGTACTCTGAGATAGTCCTTGAAAACATTGTTGGGTTCCAATAAAAAGGATGCACTTTATCAATTGTTTAACTTTAGTATATTTTTACTATTTCGATAAGGAGATGACAGTTGAACATCTTGTACTTTCACTACTGATAGGAACAGCAATTCCCTTCTCCATGGATAGATTTCTCTGCTACTTCTGCCAGTGCATAATTGCTCTGGAGATTCCTTCCACTTCTTTGTTTTGGAACAAAAGAAGGATCAGAAGGATAGAGCTACAGAGCCACATACAGGAAAATAAGGAGGAAATATTAGTCCCCCTTATTGACTACAATAAGTCCTCACTTCTTTTTATAAGGAGGAAATATTATTCCTCACTTTCTGACTACAATTGGGAGTGGCAATTTCATTCCAAAATGAAATGTCACGTAGCCGTGCCAACTTACAATGTGGGATCTGCTGCAGTTTGTTTGTTTGATTATTTGTTTGTTTGTTTATAAAATTTATTGGCCGCCCATCTTACAATAGGGTAATTCTGGGTGGCTTATAGTTACGTAAAAGCTAAACCATAGAAAGTTAAAAACCAGCATTAAAACCAAAGACATACACACTAGGAGGGCGGGGCGGAGTGGGAGTGGGAGATGGGATCTGTTATTACTCAATCAATCAACCACTTCCATTGTGCTGATCCCCCACTGGGCTCCAAGCTGACTGGCAGAGCCACATCTTCAGGCCTTTACAAAAAAGATAGCAGGGCTGGGCCCAACCTCACATCGGGTGGGGGCAAGATGTTCCAGAGGCCAGGAGCAACAGCAGAAAAATCCCTCCTCCTGGACCTCGCCAGCTGGAACAATTGGGCTGATGGGACTTGCAGACACGCCTCCTCTGCATGAGTAGGAGAGGCAATTCCATTGGGTCCCTCAAATAACATGGACCCATACCAAGGTTACTAAGTGAATCACACATAGTCAAGCAAGATATCATATGACTGCAACATGTGAATTTCTGTGGACTTCCTCATTGACTTTGTTTGTCAGAAGCCAGGTGTGAAGGTAACAAATGGTGATCACATAACTGAGTGAATGTTGTGATAGTCACAATTTGGAGGAACGGTTGTAAGTTTTTTTCAGCATTGTCATAACTTGGAACGGTTGCAAAACAAATGGTCTGTAAGTAAGGACTACCTGTATTGCATTATTATATTATTAGACCCAGGGTCCAAAATAAGCAGGAAAATGAAACAGAAGAGACTGTAATGATGATATGGTGTTTACAGCTATTTGAAATCAATTAAATACTTCCTTAATTTCTTCTCAAGGATAATGTCTCTCTGCCACCAGGGGGCAGAATAAGGGAAACTCCTGATTTCCTAACTAATTTAGGCAATACTTTCCAAAGATGTCTCTAAGATGCAGGCAAAATAAATTTGGATTGGTGAACCTGATTTGCACAAGACAAAAAGGATGTAATAATATGGCAGTTTTGGCAAAGTTACATAATGTGCAGTATTTTGTTCTGCAGATCCTTAAAGTACTTTGCATAATTTCTCTGCTTCTCTTGGAAGACAAAGTCCAAGGAAGGGTGCAGGGCACTGATCCCCTTTTACTAGCTCAGTTGGGAAAGAGAAGGAATTAGCCCATTTCCTTTTCCCTTTTACTTTTATGACTAGAGGAGTGGGAAAGAAATGAATGATGTCTCCATGGCAGAGTCTTCCTTAGGAATTTTTGGAGAATAGCAAAACTATGTCCTGTGCAAATCCAAATGTTCCTTTGATCTGCTCCTAATATGTTGCTTTGCCTTTCCTGATGTTGAAACATCATTGATGGAGACAAAAAGTCACTGATGGTTGTGTGATAGCTGGGGGGGGGGGAGAGAGAACCAAGAGACTGAATTTCTCTTTTAGGCTGAAAATATATTCTGTGGTACCTGGGACAGTCTTTTAGGGACACAGAATTTCAGCCAAACTTATTAATTAATATCTTTATTATTTTTACCCCCCTTTTCATCAAGCAGTGCCCAAACTTAACAACTATAAATACAAAATAAAATGCAAAAATATTAAAAGTTGCAATAAAAATAAGGAAGGCAAAGCATGTAAATAAAATCACTTACTCTACATATACAACCACTGAATCACTTTCTCGAGCAAGATAGCAGCATAAAGCACTATAAGTTTCTAGGGGAAAAAATAAGTATTAATGTTCAGGTACTTCTGCATTGCAAATATGTTATTGATATTGTTTTGACTTATGGCCAAATCAAGGTAACCCTATCCTCAAGTCTAAAAAAGAGTTAGAATCAGAAGAAGGTGTTTGCCATTGGTTTACATATTTACAATTGAAAGAAAGGTTTAAATTAGATAAAAAGAGTTATGGATTTGATTTTTGTGGAAAATGAATTGGATATCCTACTGCTGAAAGTAGTGCAATTTGTAGTGATGAGCATATTGTTGCTAAGATTTATAATTTGCTATTGAATTTGAATATGGAGAAGGAGGATGTAAACCATTGTATGATTCTGTAGCAAAGAATTTTGTACGTCATATAATGCTTGAACAATGGGAGAATATGGAAAGATCTTTTAGACAAAAGGTCTAACATTTACATTGAATTATAATTTTAAAATACAATTAAAAAAACATTTTATAAGATGAAATATCACTGGTATCTAACACCGGATAAATTATCAAGAATATATAAAGGTATTTCAAATGAATGTTGGAAATGGAAATGGAAAGATGGAACTTTTTACCATTTACGGTGGAGATATGATAAAACGAAGAAATATTGGAATAGGATTCACATCTTAATACCGAAGATTCTTAAAGTGAATATAAAGATAAAACCAGAGGCTTTTCTTTTAGGTCTAATGGATAAAGAACTTGAAAAAACTTTGGAACTTTGATGTTATATATGTTGACGGCAGCAAAATTACTTTATGCACAAAAATGGTATGGCAAGAGAGCATTCAGCTGTTCCCAAGCCATCACAAACAAAGCTCAATCTTGGGAAGCACTGAAGATATATCTTACCATTTTGATGTTTTTTCCTTTGCAAATGTTTCTTTTACTTTTGCTCAAAATACAATGTTCTTTTCTATGGCTATGCTCACATATTATTGGATGCTTTAATTCTTCTGATGTAACTGGACAGATGACTATTTCTGAATCAATTAACTTTTGCTTTGAAGTTCCTTTCTTGTGCCATAGAATTAAATGGAATCCATTCCATAGGAAGACCCCACTTTATCAGAGTACATTGCTTTTAAATGATCTTCTAACTCAGTGGTTCTCAACCTGTGGGTCGGGGCCCCATTTGGGGTCGAACGACCATTTCATGGGGGTCGCCAAACAATGCAGTCCGCCATTTTCCCCCCTTTTCCTTAGCTGTGCTACTCCCTTTTATTCTATTGGCTTTTGAAAGCCAATAGACTCTTTTGAATAGAGTCTAATTCTATTGGCTTTCAAAAGCCAATAGGCATTGTCCAGGCTGTCTCTGCCCTGCTGAGCCCGCCAAAAGTCCCAGTCTGCAAATGGTGCTGCACCAGTTGAGTAGTCCTCGACTTACGACCGGTTGGGGGTCGCGGCATTAAAAAGGTTGAGAACCACTGTTCTAACTCAGTTGCTTATTGGAAAAGATAAGCCGAAGTAGAACCTAGGGCCAGATTTGGCCATCATTACCAAACTAGGTATCATTAGAAATTGGGACAGCAACATCATATAGATAGAAGAGAGTGTTTGTAGCTCAGATTTGTACTGTAGGGTCCTTGGTGTTTTCTGAGCTTGGTGGTTTTCTTGCAGACATTTCATTATCAAACTAGGTAATATCTCTTCTGTCGATATGATGTTGCTGCCCCACTTTCTAATGTCCCAATTTCTTCTCTGCATTGCGTTTTCTATTTTGAACAGACCACCTCATTAAAAGGGTACTTGGGTGAGAGTATTTTGATTGTGGAATTAAAAAAAAAGGTCACACAGAACTACTTGACTGATTTTTGATTTGCAAGCCATTTCGAAAATACAGATACAAACGGATACTTTAATTATACTGTGAGGATTGCTCCTTTGGGAAGCAGGTTGATGAGTGCAAAATTGCATATTACACATTTGTATTATAGGAAGAAGTCATTAGCCAGAGAAATCATTTTTCTGCTTTCTATTATAGTCTTTGAAGCATCAATGAGTCAATACAATATATGTATTTCTAAGCTGAAAAGGAAAATTTTGAGTTCCAGTCCTAACCGGTTTAGAATCTATCTATCTGATAGGGCAGTGATGGCGAACCTTTTAGAGACCGAGTGCCCAAACTGCAACCCAAAACCCACTTATGCATCGTCGGGTGCCGGGTGGGTGTGGCCCATTGGGTGGGTGTGGCCCATTGGGTGGGCATGGCTGCAGTGGTAACAGCAGACTGGGTGGGACTAAAAAGTTCAATCAATCAATTCCAACTTTGCAAGATCTTTTTTTTTCCCGTGAGAAGTTGAAATTGACTGATTGATTGAACCTTTTTTTTTTTTTTTGTACATGGCGGCGGAGGCCTAAAGCGAAAAGATTTTATAAAACCCAGCTGAAGGCCTAGAACTGAGGCAACAGCACACGTGTCCACAGAGAGGGCTCTGAGTGCCGCCTCTGGCACCGGTGCCATAGGTTCGCCCCACTGTGATAGGGTATCTGGTGGATTACAAGTCTAATGGATGGCCTCTAATATTGAGCAATTCAGATCTTTCTAAGGCTTGTGTCTAGACTTTCAATACAGATGGAAAAGAATCTTTTCTGGGCATTAACTTTAGATTTGCACGGCAGTATATTTCTATCATTGTTCCTCAGCTGCATTCCAATTTCAGTTCAGCTTTTGTACTCTAACTGTTTGGACAACCAGCAAAGATGGATGTAGCATGGTGGTTTAAGCACATAGCTAAACACATTCCTAATTCTGGGAAAGCCATCCTTTTATTTTCTCCCTCCTTCGCTTTTTCTACAATACTACAGATTACGAATATGTTTCATCTATATGGATTTAAAAAGGAAAAGTTAATATTATACGCAGGGCTTTTTTTCTCATAGAATGTCCAGAATGGAGTTCTGGCACCTTTTTTGGATGGAACCTTGTAGGATAGGCAAGGCGGGTTGTATGACATGTGTGAGTTCCAGCACCTTTTTTTTTTTTTAACAAAAAAAGCACTGATTATACAAAATATCTTACTTTTGGATCCAAACATGCCACATCCTCCGTGAAATAAGAGCACTCCTTTTCTTAGGCCAGGATTTATCTTTTGGGGCTGATAAATCCTTACTGGTACATTTTCAAACGTTGTATCTGTAATTAAGAGCTTTGATTCCTTCACCTGCGGCACCAAACGCATTACAAATCTTACAAACCAGATTTGAGTACAGATGCCTAATTTCTCAAAAATCTTCCCCTGTTTTAGATTAAGAAAAGATTGGTAGTTTAGAAATTATGAATAAAAAGAATTACAACAAATTCTAAAATAAACAATAATCTTAATTCATAAATATGTTTCATTTGTTGCCCAATAGAAACAACTTTGATGGGCATAAAGTGCTAATGATAATTATATTCAAACTAGTTCAATGCAAGTTTTTCCCTCCCCTCAAACATCAGTACAAGGCAATCCTTGACTTACAACCCCTATTGAGCCCCAATTTTCTGTTTTTAAATGAGACATTGGTTAAATGAGTTTTGCCCCATTTTATGACCTTTCTTGCCTCAGTTGTTAAGTGAATCACTGTAGTTGTTAAGTTAGTAACTTGGTTGTTAAGATAACCTGGCTTTCCCATTGACTTTGCTTGTCAAAAGGTCACAAAAGGGGATCACATGACCTTGGGACACAGCAACAGTCATAAATATGAAGCCATTGCCAAGCATCTGAATTTTGATCACATGATCATGGGGATGCTGCAAAAAGCGTAACTATGAAATCGCTTTTTTCAGTGTTGTTGCAACTGTGAATGGTCATTAAATGAATTGTTGTAAGTCGAGGACCACCTGTATTTATAATACTTACACCTTTTATACAAATTAGCTTTAGAACATTTTTTAAAAAACCCATCATAAGTTGCTTTGTAAATCAGCATTTTCCAAACTCTGTGGGGACTAGGGCTGAGTGAACTGATCTAAGAGAAAGCATGCTCCTGTTTGCTCTGTGTGGATGTGAATAGCTGTTGGTGCTAGTCTGGGATTGTAGGAGATGTTGTTGTGTGTCCATTAAGACAAGCCCTGAGCCAGAAGCAGTGATCCAGTTTTGGATGGGCTGCACAAAAACTTGCTTGAGCAAGTTAACAGATGGATTGTCCAGGCAGGGCAGGTGCCTGGTACAGGTATAGTCAAAACAGCCTGATGTTATTATTTATAAATTAATTCAAGGGGTGATCACAAAGTTTGATATAAATTGGTATAAATGATTGTGGTCAGATCTGCCATGTTCAAGACGGCCTGGGCTACTGAAGTGAAATTTTAAGCAATTGAAATCCATTATAGGCAGACAATCTTGGTCACTGGAAAAAGTTGTGAACCAAAGTTTTCCACTAAAGGCAACTCATTCAAGGCAGGCTATAATTCCTAGGTTTGTGTCAGTCGGGATAGGGCAATTAGTGCACCCAAGATTAAATTCTAATTTAACTTAAAGTTATACTCTAGAATTTATCATATAAACATTTAATTTAAAGATTTTTTTTTCCAGAAAGAATGTTACCCACTATATATAGGTGGAAACAACAAACAATATTGTGTTAAAAGTGATTATAATTATAATTGCTCTATCCCGACTGACACAAACTTAGGAATTATAGTCTGCCTTGAATGAGTTGCCTTTAGTGGAAAACTTTGGTTCACAACTTTTTCCAGTGACCAAGATTGTCTGCCTATAATGGATATTGAATTAATTTACTTATTTTAAAATATTATATGTCCATTATCTTATACAGATAGGCCTTGACTTACAACCATTTGTTTTGTGACTGTTCAACATTACAACAACACTGGATGATTGTTTTTCATATTTATGACTGATGCAACAGCCCTGTGGTCACGTGATCAACATTTGGATGCTTGGCAACTGTGATCCCCTTTTGCAAATCTCTAACAAGCAAAGTCAATGGAGAAAGACAGATTCACTTAACAGTCATATTACTAACTTAATGACTTCACTGAACTGTGGCAACAAAGGTCTTACAATGAGGCAAAACTCACTCAACAACTGTCCCAATTAGCAACAGAAAGTTTGGGCTCCATTGTGATGGTAAATTGAGGACTGCCTGTAGAATATAATTCTGAGTAATTAACCACCGAAACATCTCCCTCCCAGCATAAAACCGTCATACACAAGCAAGATGCTGTAGCGCTCACAGACTAAGTACACAGGTGATGAATTCAACTCCTATCCTAGCCTAAGATCTGGGAGAAAGCCAGGTCTTTATGGCTTTTAGGAATTTTTCATTTCAAGACATGTTAGTAGCATACATGGATAAAAAGTAAAAATAAATTTGGCATACCAAAAAGCATCTGCTATAATCAGGGAGTTTGAATGCCATCAAACTGGTTTGACAAGCTTCATCTGAGATTGCCTCACTCCATTTCTTTCCTGGGATAATCTCTCCTATTGTTCCTCAACTCACATTAAATACATTATCCAATTATTCTCAATGAGAGCTTTCTACTCTTCTGGAACTTCATTTCTAGCACACTGTCTTGATGAGAGGTCTTAACAGTCGTCATGGTGGCTCCTGTAACTTTGGCTTTTGAACTTAGCAGTTGGATACAGATCTTGGCTTCTAACCAAAACAGAGATTCAGAGATACAGAATAAAACTATTCCTCTAGAAACAGATTTATTAATCATGTATAAGGATCCCAGATCGTATATGAGGGAGGGAAGGAAGGAAGGAAGGAAGGAAGGAAGGAAGGAGGGAAGGAAGGAAGGAAGGAAGGAAGGAAGGAAGGAAGGAAGGAAGGAAGGAAGGAAGGATCTTCTTACCAAATAAAATGTCCATATTATCACAAAATGAAGCAGCCAGACTTTGAAAGGCTCTTTGTCACCCAGATGAAGGTCTATTTTCCTGGATGCCAAATAAGGAATCAAAAAATATTTCACGAACCAGCTCTGAAGAAGTGAAAAACCAGTGAACAACCACATGTTCAGTGACTTACAAAGGTCTCAACTAAATTACAGATATTGCCTGAGAGTGATTTTAGCAATTACCATAGCTTAAGCAAGCTTTCATCTAAAGCCAGTTAAGAATGAGTAAGATTTTGGAATGGAAGCATTTATAGCGTCAGGAGGTGGAATATATCATCTGACGATCACTCTTTATTAATGTGTAGGAGTGTCACCACAACTAGGAGAGGATTGCAATAGAGCAAGCTAAATGAATTCATCCTTCTACCTGGTTGATATATTTCATATTTGTAGCCACAAGGCAATAATTATAATTAGTTAGGCTGTTCCACTAATAAGAGAGATCCAGATTCAAAAGATGCAATGCAATTTGAAGCTTAACTGGATATTATTTAACACAGCAGGTGTGCATCCTGTCTCCCTCCCTTTTTAACTTCTATATCAACCCCCTGATCGATCTCTTACAGAACTCTGATCTGCATGCACCCAACCTAGCACATCGCAAAATCCCGATTCTTCTATATGCCGACGATGTGGTCATTATTTCACAAACTCCTATAGGACTGAAGAGAGCAATTAGGGCAACACTTGGCTACTGCAGACAGAACAAGTTGGTCCTTAACTTTGATAAATCAAAAATTTTAGTTTTTGCTAAAAGACCTGGAAAATAGAAGGACATAGTTTGGAACAGGTTAGAACATTTAGATACCTTGGGCTGGTTTTCCACTCGCAAGGGACATGGAAGGCACACCTGGATCATACACTGCAATAAGTCCTTAAATGCAACCAAATATTACTTTTACACAGGCAGAGGTCAGTTAGTACCTGCTGCCTTAAAACTTTTCGAGGCCAAAATATTGGCGCAAATTCTATATTTGAATTTGCATGGTTTCAAGCAAGAAAAACTTGCTCGAAACCATACAAACCAAATTCCTGTGAGCCATCTTAGCTGCACCCAAGGGAACCCCAAATGCCCATTAAGAATTGAGACAGGCATGCCCCAAATCCAGGTAAGAGCTTGGAACATGATGGTCATTCACTGGCTTAAAATGCATTTCTTTCCAGAGAGATGTCCCCGTTAGTGTTGACTGACAACTTCCCTTCCCCCTAGAAGCAGGCGATAGATCATAAACTGGGCTGTTATGGGCTCTCATCGGTATTCTTAATGTCCCTAGGCTTTGACCAAGCAAAGCAAGTAGTATCCAATAGAATAAAGGACATAGAGTTCCAAGAAGAACTAAATAGGTTGCCTTGCCACAGTAGGGATAGAATCAAACAGAGTGTGTGGGAATCGGCAAGATATCTGAATGATCTGACCTTCCCAAAACAAAGAATAGCTTTCTTCAGAGTCAGATTTAATATTCTTCCCTCAGCACTCCTCCAGGGCAGGTATAAGAGAACACCAGTAGCAGAATGGGTATGTATATGTGGTAAAGGAGAAGTTGAAGACATCTCACATGTTTTATTGTACTGTGAGTTATACCGAGTTCATAGGACAATATATATTCTCCCCTTATTAGAGAGATTGCCAGGGAGGGCAGACAATTTTTATGTAGGCTTTCTCCTCCAGGACTCAAAGCCTTCTATCTCACATGCAGTGGCAAAATACTGTGTTGCGGCAATGTCCACAAGAAAAAAATTGGTTACAGATTTATAGCCGTCAACTTGTGCCAATTTTTTGGAGATATCTCTAATAATTTTTGGAACATTATATTTACTCACACACTTATCGGCTTTCCACTCACGTAAACTAGGGAGTGACCCTAACATTTTGAGAACATGTATTTTCTTAACATGGATGTTATTATTTACTATTAATGTCAGTACTATTTTTATTTTATTTTTTTCTTAATATATTGTAAAAAGTGATGTCTATGACGGTAATAAAGTTATTATTGTTGTTGAGATATTATTTAGTATTTATTGGGAACTTTCCAGCAAGGAGTTTTCCTTTTGTTCTATCACAGACATTGACCCTTTTTGTGAGACATGTCCATAGACTTTCTATCTCACTGCACTCCATACTCACTATGGCGCAATGAGGGTTGAATCTCTACTTCTGTAAGTATAGGAACCATTTTAATAAATTTTTATTAATTATGGCATCTTCCTTGGGGTTCACTTTTTGGGGAATCCAACCCACAACAGCCATAGCAAGCATCAGTCAGTCACAAGAGCTTAAGAAAATATGCAGGTATGCAACTAAAGGGTCCTTGGTGCTCTCTGAGCTTGCTTGTTTTCTTGCAGATGTTTCATTACTCTAACTAGGTAACATCATCAGTGCTAGTAAGGAGTGCTGTTTTCTGTGTTTTTATATTCTGGTGTCTTGCCTATCTGGGTGGGTGGGGCGGTCTTTGGTTGAGCTGTTTACTAATGGCTCTGTGGCAGCTTCTTGATTGGGGTATTGCTTACTTGATCGTTGGTCTGAAAGTAACCTTGGAATTAATCTATGCTGATCTGAGTGCTGATTACTGGTGGATAGGTGCTAGAGTCTTTTTCTCTTTGGGGCTGGTTTATTGTCTCTTTTGCATAATCTATAGATGTTGTTACTGTCTGTGTGCCTATTGATGGCTGATTTGTCAGAGTGCCAGGCTTCTAGAAATTCTCTGGCCTTTTTGAGTTGGCCTGGTCTAGGATTGTCACATTTTCCCAATTGAAACTATGGTTAAATCTGTCTGTATGTTGTGAAATTAAAAAAAATTCACCAACTGGCTTTTTGACTGCCAGTTGGTGTTCATGGATGCGTTCTGCCTATCTTCTGCCTGTTTGTCCTACATAGTTGTTGTTGCAGTTCTTACATTGTACTGTATGTTGTAGATAACTCCTGTTTTTCCTTCTGGAGTTGCTGGGTCTTTGGGTTTACTTAAGATGTTTTGAAGGGCTTTAGTTGGCTTATGTGCTACGCTGATTCCATGTACTTGTAGTAGTCTATTTGTGATTTCTGAGATATTCTTGATATAGGCAGTATATTTACATATGGATAGTGCTTGTTTAGCAACCACAGTTGGGACCAGCAACTCAGTTGTTCAGCTTTCCTGTGTTTTATAGACTGCAAAGGCAGTAAATGCAAGGATTGATTGCAAAGTTATTTCATCACCACTATAGCATAATGCTACCACTGCTAAATGAGAACTGCCTATCCTACATATTCTATTTAGTATTCACATATTTTCTTATCATTTTTGTTCTAAAACTTATTGCCCCTATTCTAAATTTTGCATTTTTATTGCTAGGTGCAATAATAGAGAATTTGCTTTTTGGGATGATTAAAAATATAATAAGTAATGTAAAGGGAATGAATGCTTTTTAATGTAAATATAGATGATAATTATGCAAATGTGTTCACCTATTGATGCCCTAATGAGGAATTTTTTTCAATGTATGTAGTATTTTCAGAAGAAGATCTTTTGGGGAGAAATATACATTAATATTCTTCGTGTTTGCTACAGTTCAGATAATTATCAGTCTACTCTGCTCAGCTGCCACTGTTTATTTTTTTCAAAATATGTATGTTAAATTCATGATAAACAAAGGAATCTTATCCATTTTGCCCCTGAATGCAAATCTGTCACTGTCATTGAATTAAATATGGAAGAAAAGTATTTCATTTTCATTTACTTGCAATATAAACAAGTGGTGCTAATTTTTGTTGCGGTACATAACTTCATCTGATATTTTGTCAATGTCTATTTTTCTTTTTGTTATTGTTTACTAAACTTTCGTGATCTAATCTTATAATATGTACCTGCTCACAGCTGATAGGTCTTCAAAATGCCCTGTGTTCTACATAAATAGCACTAAGTATACATTATATTCAATACATCCATAAATATTATAGATAATATTTTCTTTAATATGTAGCATTACCCCCTCAGAGGCCACCAAAAACCAGGCCCTCCCAGCCCCAGCCCCCTTTGTCAAGCCCTGCAGTAGTGTTCTCCAGGGGTTAAGATGTCTCTTCCAGTTGGAGCTCATGCAGAATTAGTAGGTAGCAGGCTCTTGTCATCAAGGAGGGGCTTCCAGGAATGAAAATAACCAGTCATGATAGTCAATGCTATGTGATATCCAACAGCCCAAGGCCGGTATAGCAGCAGGAATAAAAGATTCCTCAGCGATCGTTCAGAGTCAAGTGGGATGGAGGAAAACCCTGGCTCCAGACAGTAGTAGAAACAACAACAGTCAGTGTGCTGTAGCAATAGCTCGTACCCCAGGGCAACTCCCCCACAATGTCTAAAACCTGTACCAGCAGCAATAGTCACAGTCCAAATAACCTCCAGGCTTTGCAGCAACAAGAGCTACCACCAGTCTCTCCTCTCCTTCTGTTGCTTCTTCTTCAGTCAGGTTTCAGCATCAAAGCCCTCCCCCCCCCTTTATCTTTAATGTTAAAATTTGAGGCTAGGAGCCTCAGCCAACTCCTTTCTACACACTCTCTCTCTTGCCTCTGTTTGAGATATCCTCCTTACGAAGGAAGCAATAAAACTCCACTCTCTCCCTCCCTCTAGCCTCTGTTTAAAATATCCTCGTTAGGAAGAAAAGCAAATAAAACTTCCAGTCCCTTTACCTTCATCTGATGAACTGCAAAAGCAGCAGCCCCTGGCCCTTTCCTTTCCTTCCCTTTTCTATCTTTTCTTCCGCCCACACTGGCCACACCCAAAGCCAGCAACAGCTGTCCCAATCTCTCCCTTCCCAACCAAGCTCCTGCAAACACTCTCAGACAGCCCCGCTATACACTCCCCCCACCTAACAGTTTCTTTGGTTCCCTCAAAAATAGGGAGCTTTTCTGCTCGGCGTCTATATTATCAGGGGCGGGTGTCACTCTCTACACTGTGTCCTAGGGCATCATATGTTAGCCTCTTCACCGGGTGTATCACCCTCCTCGGTCTCTGCACCTTAGGCTCAACAGTATCATGAGCGCCATCCTCTGGTGACCCCCTACCCCTGGGGGTACCCGGGACTGGCAACCCCACCTCTGACACTGGTGATTGACGACCCTGTGAAGTAGCTGGATCCACCTCCAACTATTCCCCTAGCTCTACAATGTCTGGGGGCAACAATCCATCCTGTTCTGGCCATTCCCCAGATTGATCCCTGGCCTCAAATCTCTGGTGGGTCCCCTCCTGTTTGCAAATTCTAGGCGTGGATTCCAAGCCGTCAGGCCCTGGCTGTTCTAACTCTACCTCGCCACCCACAGCCTGGGGCACGCTCCCCATATCCCCTGATAACCATAACCAATCTATGCCCCCCTCTTCTTCGTCAGAATCTTCTGCTTCCTTCTCTAGAGATGAGGCGGGTTTCGCCCTGGTTCCCACTCCCCTTCCCACTACACAGGGCTCATCTACGGGAACTGGCTGGGTAGCTCGTACTGCCTCGTGCAAGGGCAATAGATGGTTCTGATGCCATGCTTTTGAAGGTCCTGTGCTTCCCTCCCATTGTATTCGGTATACTGGCAACCCCGGTAGTTTTTCGCTAACCACATACAACTGAGAGCCCCACCGATTGGCCAATTTGTGCCTCCCAGCGGGGCCCAAGTTTCTTTTTTTCTTTTTATTGAGAATTTTTAAAAGTTTTTACAAATAACAAAAAAAGAACAATAAAAAACAAAAAAAACCCAAAACAACCCTCACCCAACCCCTCCCAAACCACCCCCTCCATCCCCCCTGAGCTTCCCAGAGCTGAATATAGGCTTAATTAAAATTTTAAGAAACCTAAACAAGTTTTAACAACTTATAAAATAGTTAATAATAAATATAAGTGACATAAACATTAAAAAGAAAAAATACTTAAAAAGGAAAAAAGAAAAGAAGAAAGAAAGAAAGAGGAAAAAAATAGGAAAAAGAAAAAA